TTCGGCCTGAGCCAAGGAGACCTAGGGTTTCTCCTATTCCATCCTGTAATGTTTTCAGAGTGTCTGCTTTGACTTCGAGGTCTTTGATCCATTTGGAGTTGATTCTGGTGCAGGGTGATATAAGGATCTAGCTTTAGTTTTCTACAAGTAGTTAACCAATTTTTCCATCACCATTTACTGAAGAGGCTGTCTTTGTTCCATTCTATTGTTTTAGCTCCCTTATCGAAGATTAGATGGCTATAGGTCTGTAGGTTCATGTCTGGGTTTTTAATTCTATTCCATTTGTCTTGAGGTCTGTTCTTTGGCCAGTTCAAAGCTGTTTTGACTACTATGGCTTTATAGTAGAGTTTGAAATTTGGTATTGATATTCCTCCAGCAGTGTTCTTTCTGGTGAGGAGCGTTTTCACTATTTGTGGTCTTTTATTGTTCCATATGAATTTTTGGATTCCTTGAAGAATGAGGTTGGAATTTTGATAGGTATTGTGTTGAATTTGTAGATAGCCTTGGGAAGTATAGCCATTTTCAAGATGTTAATCTTTCCAATCCAGGAGTATGTGAGGTTTTGCCATTTTCTAAGTTCTGTTTTGATTTCCTTTTTCAGGATTTTAAAGTTTTCATCATAGAGGTCCTTCACTTCTTTGGTTAAATTAATTCCTAGGTATTTTATTTTTTTGTGGGGCTATTACAAATGAAGTTGCTTTCCTAATTTCAGCCTCACTTTTCTCATTGTTGCCATACAGAAAGGCCTTTCATTTTTGGGGGTTTATTTTATGCCCTGCTACTTTGTCAAAGTTTTGAATCAGCTTGAGTAATTTGTGAGTGGAGTCTATGGGATTCTTTAAATACAAGATCGTGTCATCTGCAAAGAGGTAGAGTTTTATTTCTTCTTTCCCGGTTTGGATCCCCTTGATGTTTGCATCTTGTCATATTGCTGTAGCTAGGCATTCTAATACTAGATTGAAGAGAAGTGGAGAGAGTGGACATCCTTGTCTTGTTCCTGAGTTGAGAAGAAATGGCTTTAGTTTTTCACCATTAAGTATAATGCTGGCTGTAGGTTTGTCATATACAGCCTTTATTGTATTGAGGAATGTTCCATGGATTCCTAATTTTTCCAAAACCTTCATCATAAAGGGGTGTTGGATCTTGTCGAATGCTTTTTCTGCATCTATTGAGATAACCATGTGGTTCTAATTCTTGCTCCTGTTGATGTGATGAATAATATTAATTGATTTGTGTATATTGAACCAGCTTTGCATCCCTGAAATGAATCCTGTTTGATCTGGTGTATGATTTTTTGGATGAATTGTTGAAGTTGATTGGCCAAAATTTTGTTGAGAAGTTTTGCATCAATGTTCATCAAAGAAATGGGTCTATAGTTCTCTTTCTTTGATGAGTCCCTGCCTGGTTTTGGGATGAGGGTTATGATGGCTTCATAGAATGTGTTCGGTAGTGAACTTTCTCTTTCAATTTCATTGAAGAGTTGGAGGAGTATTGGTGTGAGCTCTGCTTTGAAGGCCTTGTAAAATTCCGCTGTAAAACCATCTGGTCCTGGACTTTTCTTAGCTGGGAGGTCTCTTATTGCTGTTTCTATTTCAATGCTTGATATGGGCCTGTTAAGATGGTTTAACTCATCTTGGTTTAGTTTTGGCATGTCAATATTTGCTAGGAAAAAGTCCATTTCTGTCAAGTTCTCTAACTTATTAGCATAAAGTGTTGAGAAGTATTCCCTTATAATGTTCTGAATCTTGGTTGTTTCCGTGGTGATGTTTCCATTCTCATCTCTGAGTTTATTTTTTTGGGTATGTTCTCTTCTTTTTCGGATAAGATTTGCTAAGGGTCTGTCAATTTTGTTAGTTTTTTTCAAAGAACCAACTCTTTGTTTTGTTGATTGTTTCTATAGTTTTTTTGGATTCTAATTCATTTAATTCTGATTTAATATTAATTATTTCTTTCTATCAACAGGATTGGGGTTTATCTTGCTGCTCTTTTTCAAGGAGGTTCAGATGTCTCATTAAATTGTTGGTTTCAGATCTCTTCCATTTGTTGATGTGGGAGCTCAAGCTATAAACTTGCCTCTGTGTACTGCCTTTCCTGTGTCCCAGAGGAGCTGGTAATTTGTGTGTTCATTTTTGTTGAATAGCATGAACATTTGGATTTCCTTTTTAATCTCTTCCATGACCCACTCGTGATTCAGCTGTGTGTTGTTCAGCCTCCATGTGTTATCTGACTTTCTTTGGTGGCTTTTGGTTTTGAGTTCTAATTTTATTCCCTTGTCAGAGCGAATGCAAGGTATAACTTCAATGTTTCTGAATTTAGACAAGTTTGCTTTGTGGCCTAAAATGTGGTCTATTTTAGAAAATATTCCATGTGCTGCTGAGAAAAATGTGTATTCTGATGCTACTGGGTGAAATGTTCGGTAGATGTCTGTTAAATCTAGTTGATCTATGCAGCTGTTTAGATCTGTGGTTTCTCTGTTGAGTTCTTGCCGAATTGATCTATCTAGTGTGGAGAGTGGTGTGTTAAAATCCCCAACAATTAATGTCTTTGGATCTATGTGGGATTTGAGGGAAAGTATTGTTTCTTGGATTAATTTGGGTGCTCTGTTGTTTGTTGAATAGATATTTAGAATTGTACTATCCTCCTGAAAAAGAGATCCCTTAATTACTATTTAGTGACCTTCTTTATCTCTTCCCACGAATTTTAATTTGAAGTCTATTTTATCTGATATTCGGATTGCAACTCCCGCCTGTTTAAGGGGACCGTTTGCTTGGTAGATTTTGCTCCAGCCTTTTACATTGAAAATGTGTTTGTTTTTATGGGCAAGATATGACTCCTGAAGGCAGCAGATAGAAGGATCTTGTTTCTTTTTAATCAAACTAGACAGTCTATGTCTCTTAATTGGAGAGTTAAGACCGTTACTGTTGATAGATAGTACTGAGAAGTACTTGGGAGTTCCTGCCATTTTATCCACCTTCTTGGGGGCTGTGGCAACTGGGTTCTTCCTATGGTTCTTGGATTCTCAGTTTGGGTGAAGA